GTTATAATACGCTCTTTCTACAATTATATACAATAAATATATAAATCCGTTGATTGCTGTTGAAACTTCTCGGTTCTTGCTCCGCGACGACCACATATAAAAATCAGCAGGTATTTCGAGAAATGATCTCTGTCTTCGATGAAAGAAATATTTTATATCGTACAGAGTAAGATAAGATCAAGTACACATTTCGTCAATGATGATGACCGGTTGTAATTAACGCTGGCAAAACAGAGCCTAGAACCAGGACCAATATTTCTTTCACCTTAAGTCCAGACGAAGACGCTGCGGCGTTCTCGGACGTTGGCAGATGAGCATAGTTCCCGGTGTTTCTTGTCATTAACTCCGGTAGAACGTGTACAGTCGCGACGTAGAGGAATGTACCAGCACTGAACAACATCGCTACACCCGTTGCATTAACGTTGCTAAGAGTCTCCTTTCCCTCCTGAAAACATACGTTAGTTCGCTGGACTTATAGAGCCTCGGATAGTCGAGTTTAAAGTGTCTCACGTCGCTCACCTTTCCTATACCGAAATATGTTATGAGAGCGAGGCAAGGTGCAGCTAAGGAAAATACTAGAAGATGTCTGCTAATTTTTTTCCTATCTACACCCTCGTGTAACAAAAACGATACCAGGCCAAATGCAGCAGGCGCCTGAGGAGAGAGCATTCGTTTTATTTTCTCTGTTCCATTATTATCCAGTTTTCATTTTTTACCTTGTGCAGCATTATGGCCAGAAAGACAATTAATTCTACGTCGGCTTGGGACGTGGTCGCGGCAGCTCCTAAGGCTACTCCATCGGCTGCCGCATGAACCACAAGGCCTAAAGTAGCAGTGACGCTTCTCTCTCTTACTCCGCTCCTTCTGGCTGAACACTGATCGACCAGGAGCATGAACACAAAACCAAGTATCAGGCTAATGCCTATCAGAGAGTGTGGATCACCTAAAGGAGAGAAAGATCTATCGATCATATTCGTCGAACGAGAGACAGCTAATTTGTAAGTGAGGTGACTGACCATGGACTGCTTGGTCGCTACTGCTCCCACCGGTAAACAATGCTCTTATACCTTCAGGTATGATCACAGCCAGAGCGGTACCTACAAGAAGTCCGGCACCAAGTATCGATACCAGTTGTAATTTATCCTAGAAAGATTAAAGGTTCATGATGTTCATGATCATGTCGTTCTTTGCAGAATCTGTAATCAGTAGTTCAAGTATATGACAATCACAGAAAATGATAGATTGAAAACAAACTACATTTTCATCTATCATATTTGAACGGGACCAATTACCTCGGACAGATTCATGACCAACGGTAGGGAGCCAGCTATGCAGGAGCCGATCAACATTACCAGCGAAAGCATCCACAAAACTGAACTTTCTTCCATATTTTCTTAATTTCTCTCGTTGTGCCATAAATTAAAAACAACGTACACACTTTCTTATCGGAACCGGTGAAGTCACATCGCCGCGCGACGTTCGGTACGCGACGCTGTGTCTGCGAAAACAATTTTTACTTTCTACTACCGCATTTTACTCAAAATGCAATTTCTGACAGTGCCAGGCGGGCAGGTAGGGACAGCAGGCTGTCTGTTTTCGTCTACGTAGCACTTTTCGTCACTGATGGACGCATCGTGGGCTCATTATATTGTTGGGCAGATTGTTGGGCACTAGCGGCTCTAGCATGGCACTAGGCGTCCAATGCACGTCCAATGAGAATGACGTCACAGCTAGGGATATCAAATGCTGCACACGCTGCACACATGCCGACTGATCATCGTCAAATAAATATATATTCATACCAATTCATACGAGTTTACGTTTTGACAGACAGCACTGTTGCATTTACATTGTTCATTTTCATTTTGAATTTAATCTGAATCACGTTAATAAATATATTTGGTAGTTTTTGTTCGAAGAGCAAGATGAGCAAACCGAAACTATCAAGAAGTATATTGGAAATGAAAGTAAGTCCAGGAGGTTAAAAGCTTTTGAAATTAGCAGCATCTCATTAAACTGTGTTTACGTATGAAAATGTCAATTGTCTGATTGAACATAATGTGTATTCGACAGTTTATGAAGCGGACCAAAGAGAAAGTACAGAAGCAAGAGTTTCAGGAAGAAGGCGAGGAATACTTTGGTAATGAACTGACGAAACGTATGAAGAAAGAATCGTAAGGGTTTTTTCTATAATACAAATTATTTCGTATGATACTCTTGTTTTTCAATCGTAACGTTGAATATCTCAATAGCCAGCATCGTTTAGAAATAAGAAATGAAAGAGACTTTGTTTAAAAGTAGAGAACCTGCGCTTTGTATCATATTACAAACGTGAATTAGGCGATTACAATGTTGTTCCTTATTTTTTATTTAAGAGAGAGATTTGTCAGTGAACCCAGTTATGTGTTCTGTGAGAAATTAGTCGACGGTAGAATAAGTTTTCAAGGGATGAATCCTGAAATAGAGAAATTGATGGAAGAAGAACGAAGAAATGAAAGGGTGAGAAATGAACAAAAACAGGAGGCAGACATCTCGGACGAGCAAATGGCAAAGAGTTTGAGTAACTATAGGAAGAAGACGAAAGTCAATTATAAACGTGAGAGATCGTTTAAAATGCACGACGATCGGAATGGGCCATCGAAGAAGCCGAAATTCTTAAAACCAGATTATTAATCTTTGGCGCGAACGATCGAGGTTTGTACATACATAATCGTTACTGATATAATAAGTTATAAGTAGATTGTAAGATCGCTACACGGTGTTTAAGTCACTGACATATAAAAATGTGTACAATCACAATAAATTTTATTGAGTTTCTGGCTTTACGTCGTACTTGTCGCTGATCAGATTACTAAACTGCTCGAGTAAGTTCAAAAAGATCTCTACGGACACGTCATCTGTACCACTTATCTTTGTCCCTTCTTCCCAAAGCACGTCGAAGTTGTTCTCGGGAAAAGTAATTCCGATTCTTTCAAAAATATTTCGTACTTCGTTCTTGCCTCGAGGCTACAAACAGTCGATGAGAAACTTGAGACTCAATTAACGATCTATGGGCGCATGATACTTTTAAACGTACTTTGATCAACTCTAAGTGGCTGAGTCCGTGTTTCGTGTAAACATTTGGAAATATGAGACTGTAAGCAGTAGGTTGATCCGGGTCTATGGACAAGATTCCAGCCGTTCGAACGTCTGCACGTGATAATTTTCTCAATACGACATATTGTAATAAAACAAGATCGACAAATACCAACCCGTAGTATCTATTTTGTCTACACTTCCTATTGTACTGCCATATGAGGTATCGAAGTATTGGCATTCCCGAGGTATTCCTGGAAATGGTGGCATACGAGACTTCAACGTGTATTGAATGTAAATAATATTCAGTCTTATAGCTTTGTAACGAAAACGATTACTTTCTATCTTCGGCAACGTGGGAAAATGGTATTTCCAATTTAAAAGATCTAACAATTCTTTGTACTTCACGTTCTTCTCTTTTCGTATTTGAAGCAGATCCAGTAAAGGTGTCAAAAGATCTTTATTTATGTGTACTCTGTATCTTGCTAACGTCGAGTAAATTTTGTCCTCTGGTAGCACGTCGGTGTAATTCTATACGTATTTGCGAAATTATTTGAATTGATAGGCGATCCAGTTCTTTGTAACTCGTTGTTTTAGTAAGATAAAAATAATACTTCGTCCTGGCAAAATAAGTCTTCGTGAATATCTGTGAATGGAACTGGAGGCACGAGCTTCTTGAACCTCAGGCGTAGACTGTTTATGTATTGCAAATATTCTTGTTGCATCAGTACATCGTTGTTTACGGGGCAGTCGCTCATAATGTTCAACTTCTCATATTTATCTTTCGCTGTCGTTTTACCGTGTTTCATATCCATATACATGTATGAATTCTTTATATTTCTAAAACATTCAAGCGTTTGAAATGCGACTTCGGCTGACACAAGTTAAATTATTATTACTTTGTTTCCCCGACGCGCGCGTGGGTACGTTCCAAAAAGTCGGCTAAATTGGAACTAACTGTCGCGTAAGGTTCAGGATTAATCCATTTTACAAGTCTTTTCAATCGTGCACCGTCGACGATACCAAGAATATCCATCGATTCTCCAAAGCACATGTCTTTTTCAAACGGTTTCTTATACCTGAAAATATCCTCAATCTTGTGATTCGTTTAGCTTACTTTTTTTTCATTCCATACCGTCTTTCGATTCGTTCTGCCGGTAAATAATCATGATGACTTTTTATGTACATTTCGTGGACTTCTTTCTCCGGCATGTCAGAGACTTTCATCTCTTGAAGAGCATCGGCCACGGTTCCCGCTAATCGTGGAAGAAAATATTTCTTACGGGAATAAGTACATTGCATCCGTTAATCACGAAGTTCGATAAATCATTAAAAGCGTCAAGGAAGAGTAGTATGATAATCGGCATGTACTAGAAACTAGTTTCTTTCCAAAAGTGACTTCTAATGGGTCCATTCCAGCCGGTAAATTGGGAACTTGATAACGTGTTTTACCAACTTCTTGGTTCCAGTAACTGTTCATCACGGTATTTCTTAATTCAGAAACGATCGTTTGAAACGCTGACATCGAATGCGGTTGCAAACATTCCTTTACCTTCGAATATAATAGGAAGATGTGCATACAGAAATCATTTTCAAATTCTATTCTCGTTCGTAATTCAATTTGGGAATATTAAAGAATCCTACACCAATTATCCTTTCTTTAGTACACGTCTCGATTATGCGTGGCTCCGGCTTTTCAGCACGTTTCTCATTGTGTTCAAGCATATTTTTCAAACCTTCGACTTTGTCTTCCAACGAATATTCTTTAAGACACTGTTTAACGTTGGACGTTGAAGCTTCATTACTTTTCTGTAAATAATGACTCGTAAGATTACGCTAAACTTTCTTCTAATCGTAGTCTTTCTCAGCGAAATGTTCATTCAAATAAGGACGATGGTCTTACGAATTTCTTATGCGATTCGGTATTTAAAAGCGATTTGCTTTCTGGAGTCACACGATGATATCTATCCCCCATTTTTCAATAAAAAGCATTAAGCGTTTAAGAAGAAGTTGAAATATGACACGAATCGTAAAAAATATTGTTACAGTAAATTAAAATTCCGGAATCGATTGCAATCGATCTCCTTGCCCGTTGCTGTTTTTATATATATACTACACACGAAAAACAGTTTTTTGCAAATAACTCGTTAAATATTGATGCTAGCGAAGAACTTTTATATAGGGATTGTAGATCTCGCTGTCCTCTACAAGAAAGGTCCTATGCAATTTTCCCGTATCTCCAAGGGTTTAGGAGTTATTGAGGAAAAACGAAATTTCTTGTCGAAAGCGAAAGTCCTTGGCTCCAATATTGCTGCACCAGAGAGAAAAACGGGTTCGCAGCCGTGAACGCTAGATGGCGCCACGAACAACTCCAAATTCATTGGAGCCAAGCACTTTCGCGGCCATGAACGCTAGATGGCGCCACGAGCAACCCCAAAATCTATACTAACTCTATGGGGTTTACACAATTGTAATACGACAGCGCAGAAAAAGTAAAATAATAATACAATCGCAAACTTTACATGTGATAATAATAATAATAATGACAGCAGTTAAGCAAAGTGCGAAACGATCGAAATGGGCATTGGATTTTGCACACAAGTTGGTAACCTCATTGTTCAAATCGCATTTTCCAAGTATAACGCATCTCGTTTAGTGATTACGTACTCTTTTACTCGATTTACTTGAATTATCATTAGATCGTAGTCGTTTCACGCGTGTGTCATATTGTTTTACCTCATTATTACGTTGAATCGATTGATTTGTATTACATACTACACTGGTCTCTACCATACTTGTTTCGTACCTTTGAACAGAGTCACGTATTTTGAAATATTTTCTATTGTAGAAATAAACAAGAAAAGAATACGGATATTACTTCTCCACCGGGCTATACACCTGCGGTAGCCCTATTTCATGCAGCTGATTCGATTCGAGAATCAGATTCTAATCACTTGATAATCAAGAAGTCATGGGATTTAGCATTGGGTCCTCTCAAACAAGTTCCAATGAATTTGTTTATAATGTACATGGCTGGTAATTCTATATCGATATTTCCTATCATGATGGTTGGCATGCTGATCATCAGACCGGTGAAAGCATTATTTACTCTTCAACAAAGTACGTATATTACAGTTGTGGAGAAAGACAAAGACAAGATCATTGATACGTGACAGAAATCGAGTAGAAGATAGTATGTCGTTGCTTATGTTCTGAAAATTAATTCTTTTACAGCATTTAAAGTGATAGAAGGTACACATGCGTTCGGACAAAAGTTTGTGTACATCTTGGGACAATTGGTAAATATCGTGCTAGCGTTGTACAAGTGTCAATCGATGGGATTGCTTCCGACGCATGCATCGGACTGGTTAGCGTTCGTAGAACCGCAGGCACGGTTGGAATATTCTGGTGGCGGGTTCATATATGTATGACGTAAGATGTAATTATCTTCAAACGTAATGTGTACATTCAAATTAAACGGTCGTTGTGAATTTAGTTATACTTTATTCCATGCATAAATTATAAAAACCATTCGCACGTTACACAAGATGTTTTATTAAAATCAAATTTAAAAAAAGATTACGTCACATGTTTATATACAGATATGTACAATAAATTGCATTGAAATATATTCGGTAAGCGTGTAATAGTATTGGTACGTGAATCGTCGTCATCGGTTACTTTTTCTTATATTCCTCTGCGAATTCCTTTATTCGTTCTATTATCTTGCCAGGCTCGTCGACGCGAGGTACCTGAAGTTAGATACATTTAATAAAATACAAATTTTACCGTAACGCACGACGCCAAGTGATGAGACGACAGAAGAGCTTGTGAAAAAATGTACCTCATAATTTTGGCTTATGTATATACCAGCATAAATTCCGATGCCCAGGGTTAACTAGAAAAGATATTCATTGTTTTTACCTAACGAAAAGAATCGTAACTTGTAAAATACATGGATAATTAGATTTACCACGAACTTGAACATGTTTTTGTTATTATAGTTATCGCTTATCGCTGGGTGCGACGTTCGATGCACGAGTTAAAATGCTTGTCTATCTATCTTTTATCGTCTTCGAGATCGAAGCGAGTAGAGATAAAATTCGTTATCAATTATCTTCAGTCCTCGTTTTATATCTCTAGTTTTACGCAGAATCGTTGATTTACAGAAAGACTCGTCGGGCTCGATGGCGTTTGAGACCGTGGTATCATGCATACGAGCACACGAGGTTATGTACAAAAATTAATTCCGTGTCTGCAAATTTGATCAATGGTTTTCAAAGCTTTCTTCAGTACTTTCAAAGTCGATCTCATTTATAAACACTCATATAATCAAGGAACTGAGACTTATTACTCAGGGTAATTTTACAGAAGCATTGATCAGTTGCACACTTGCTGCAGTTGTACACTGTACTGACTGTAAGTACACTACCATTGAAAACCTTTGGCCGCCAAAGTTTGGCGTCTCGAGTCTCGAGGGACGTTGCTTCGCTTCGCTTCGCGTTTTCCCTTGCTCTAAACGAGTATGGAAATGAATGAATTTCAATGTGTGAAAATTACAGTTGCATCGACTTTGGAAACATTGTTATTCAACTAATTACAAGAGACGAAAGTCTTCTCGTGTTTCAGCATTCAGCCCAATTCGATAATAATTGTATAAACTATCAGATTATCATTGAGATGAATGACACCCGGAAAATCTACACAATATACTCTTTATTGTACATAATTTCAATATTTCATTCTCCGCCTTCCGTTTGACATTATTACAATAATTACTATAGAATATATTTATAATAATATACATGTACGTATTTACTTCCTTTTTTTTTGCTATTGATTCTCGATTTATATGTATAATTCTATATGTATATTGGCCTATGAATCGTTCCATTCTGCACTTTCTTCCGTCTTCTGCTTCCTTTCTTTTAAAATCTAAAAGTGTATCACAGTTGTGTTGAGGGATAGAGAGGGATCATATTATTTTTCTTCTTTCAAAGAAAGGGAGACCGTCCAGACAGTCGAAATCGATACATAGTCCATTCAGTCGGACCTCCTCGGACCTGACGGTCGCGTCAATTTGACATTTCTTTTTTTAGACGTAGTGAGCCCGGCAAAACGGCTGCGATGAAATGTATCCTACACTGCCTGATGAGCTCGTAAGCCTACTTGCAAATTGCTCTACGATCGTCACGGAAAATACCGTGCATCGCAGGCCGTCCAAATTACAAATTATAACGGAATGATTCGCATCCGTGGTCGTTTTGTGCAATTTTAGATGAACATCGTCTCAACGTAGAAATCGTTTCATTATCCCAACAAGAGTTCCTACCAAGTTCTGACGAAATCTGGTTGGAAAAGCTTGTGCATCTTGTTTGCATATTTCTCCTCTTGTTCTTTCCTCGTTGTTTGTCAAAAGTTGTTTTTCACAACATCCTTACATTGCTCTTGTGCCGCAGCTACGTCGATGAATCTTTCGAGGAGGGAGAGGGATCTCACGCCGGAAAGTATCCCCTTCAAAATCGTTAACTTGCAACATTTAATACATGCGTGACACGTTCGTGTGTGCGTATGACTGTTTCTTACTTATTTCCTGTAGTTAAAAGTTATGCTTCTCTTTTATCCGTTTTTAATCGACGTCAGAATCAACGAGCATCATGCATTTTTGTCAGAATCGAGTGTACGAAATCACGCGAAAGAAACTTCCCGTTCAATCAATGTTATAAAAATACTTTGTAATTTTCAAGGGGAAGGGAAAAAGATCGAGGATGCTTCTCTGTCTAGAGTCTAGACGACGTCTGTACACAAATGTCAAATGTTAAAGAATTTCTCTTTGGATATTTTTTCACGGATAGACAGCTTGAAACCGAGTAGTTGCATTAAATCGAATATCGTGTATAAAGCCTTATATTTACCACACATATCACCTGGATAAAAAAACTTTCTAAAAATATACTATATGTATACGATAAAACACATTTTATATCGTCTCGAAAAATAAACTTTCAATAAAAGTAGCGTTACACGTGTTTAAAAAGAGAAATCGAAAGGAATGTAACGGCATCTCATCGCGAATGAGCCGTGCCGCGAGGATTAATCGTTACCTTCCACGCGTTGATGCACTTACCAATCGCGTTTCGAATAAAAAAGTTTCCGGTAAACACACTAATACGACGTTCTAAAAGAATCTTGTGCTCTTGCGATATCCCCCGCGAATAAACGTGTGTAAACGACATGGTCTTCTTTTTACTTCGTCAGTCGTACCGGACTGCCGCAACTAATCCGATTCGACTAATCCTACTGAGTGGACTAAATCTCGATTTTCGAAGATGATGCGATTTCAATTTAGGTAAGAGGTAGGAAGATGTAACACTTAACTAGATCCAGGAGGAGCATTGAAATTAAACATGGTAGTTGGTGGACGTCCCGGCAACGGTTTCGGCGGTAGTCTGGGCGTTACCGATCCTGAAATGTTTAACAAGCTATTTGTAACAGGAACGATGATACACACAGAATGTATAAAGTCTCGCGTACGAGAAAGCTGGTCGGCTTTACCGTTGGGCTGCGTGGGTGGAAGTTTAGTGGGACTGGGTCCGTTAAAAGACATGTGCCTTCGTGGATAAACAGCGTTTGAACACGTGGTTTCGAACGTGGAATTCCGCCTGGCGAGTAGCGCCGAACAACTCGGATTCAACGTCGCGGGAAGACGGGGTGGTAACGTCGCCGGAGGCACATCTCTTCGTGGCGGTAACGGTGGCGGTGGCGTGCCATCCCGCGGTGGAAGAGTCGGCGCGTTCGGGGCTTGTCTCGCCTGTTCGATAGAAACGACACGAATCGCGTGAGAAGCTCCGAGCCTCTGTAGAGGAATTAATACTAGTAGTACCAATGTTGATTTACCTGTTGCGGCGATTCGCTCGTCGAACTCTCTCGTTTCCTATGAGATCTCGGTGGTAGAGGGGGTGGAGGTTGACTGGCAGGTACGTGGCTGGGCGACGGTGGAAGCGGCATCGGGACGCCAGGACTTCCGCCCGCCGATGACATACCGGTCAAAGCTCCCATCACACCGATCGTTCCGGAATTAAAGCCAAAGTGGCTGTTCTGCGGTTGATGGTGCGGCAGAGACAAGTGGCCCGGCGATCCCAATTGCGGACTGCTACCAGGCGAGCTGATCGAGAGTCCTGACATGCTGAGAGGACCTGGCGAACCTGGAGGTTGAGCTGTACCTGTATTAACAGCAGAGTACATCTACTACCTATCCAAGCGCACTACTGTGCAACGAAAGTGAGAAAGATTTTCTGATTTCATTGTTCAAGACATGAAACAAAGATTGCAAAGCAGCTGTATTAAGGGCTACGCGTGTTCGTGCATTGATTCTGGGGATCGTGGCGAACGTACCTCCGAGTAAAACAGGTGCAAAGACACTGTGATCTCCTCCTATGTGAGAGACGGTGATATGCGAAGTGGCCGGAGGAGTTTCTGGTAACTCTAGAGGCGGAACCTCCGGCGGAGGATCGTGCAGCCTTACGCTGGAAGCCATAGCTTGTAAAGGAGCTGGTAATTTACCACTCAAACTTCTGGCCTTAATGCCCGGCGACTTTAAGTTCAAGTCCGGCCATTTGCGTGGCTGTAACGACAAATACGTTTTACGTGCACGTGTACACACGAATCATCGGGATGAATCCGTAACGATTTCGGTCAACTTACGACTCTGGGTGGTTGCCTACAACCTCTCGGTTCTACTTCTAAACTTTTATTGTACAAATAATTGCTTATATCGGCCTCTTTCATGTTGGGATCGAAGGGTGACAGATTCTCAATGAAATGTCTTATCCTCGTCTCCACTGAAAGACAGTAAGGTTGATTTTGGTATTGTTGAATCTCTCCCGTTATCTCCGCCACTTTTCGTCGTTTGCTAAAGTTTATAAGCTCCGGACTTCCTCGTAGATAATCCGGATTCCCTTCTTCGATGTGTAAGATGTTGGTCAGGTACATGCCTACAGAAGATGAGACAATCGATAAGATTGAGCATCAACGCATCGTGTCCATTGTTGCTTACCAAAAAATGGTACACATGGAGGATTAATGGATCGCAATTTTTCTTGATACTTTCGAAAGTGACCATTATTCAGTTCTCGCGCTTCCTCGAGTGCTTTTTCCAATCGCGCTGGTATTTGCTATAAACAGAAAGGAACGCGTAATTCGATTCGTTCGAATCAATAAAGGAACACGATATAACATGTGGGAACGTACTTGGAAAGTGAATTTCAATCTAAATACAGACGCAGACCCCATTGCACTAACGATTGCCAATACACCGTTAAAGTTGTTAAGGTCTTGAAGCACCATCATGATTTCAATTGCTCGCGACACGATCGCTACTCTTTCCTCTAAATTCTCTGCTTCCACTATAGTCTTCTCGAGCCACCGCGTAAACTGTAGAACCAAAATTATGTATAATTCTGAAAGCTTCAAATATCAATGTCGAATGAGAACTTACATTCGTCGTATGTTTTATCATTTTCAACAAATTCGGCGACGTTTTTTCTTTATCCTTCTTCGTCCATACCGATCCTACTAATTCCGAGGGTTTTACAGTTCTGTACAATTCAAACTCCAGCAGAGTCAGTTGTCTCGCTAATTCAATTGGATGTAGCTGTAATCATTGAAAGATCAGTTGACCGACGTCTCGCAATGAAAATGTTATATTATCAATTTCGTTTGCGACATGTTACCGTTAATATATTCCATTCTTCTTCAGGAACTTTCAGGTGCCACTCGATAGGTGGTGGAGATCGCTCGAAGCTGAACGTGATAGGTTTTTGTTCGGAGGGCTCGCACTTCCTTTGAACTATTTTTATTACTGAGTCCACCCATTTCCTCATCGACTTTCCGCTCACTGTATCTAAAAACAAGTGTAGCCTTTCCAGAAGATTTCTATCGCGTTCGAAATCATAAAAATGGTGATCGACCTGGTTCATAGAAAAAACAACGTACAAATTAGTAACGAAACCGTGATGATTCGAAGCAAAGATAAAAATGCTACAAACCCAGTGTCTTAAAACGTTTAAAACTCTGAACTGTACAGGTTGACAAAATTCTTTTCTATATCTCTTCCAATCTTCCCTCGCGGTTGTCTTACAACCGGAAGATTTTTCCTCGTCACCGTAAACTAACGAAGGATCTGGTATGTCGAATCTCTCGATTAGTAACGTTAACAGTTCCTGAGGTGAGCAAAAACTCCTGTAAAAAGGAAAGAGTCACATTCACTCGTGAGAATCCGATCGCGAAGAACGTGACGTCATATTAACATCGAGAACCATATTCACCATACCTATAAGTAGTAAGGAATGTTCGTACAAAAGCTGGGTCAGCGTATATGTGATAAGTTAATCTCTCTACCAATTTGACCAAAGTCGCCCCTTTAATCAGTGGGACACCTCCGTTTTCTCTGGCTTCCAGAACGATGTTCTCCGGACTGTCTTGTTCGGCAAATTTGTACAGATCTGGCGGAGGTAACTTCAACGGATGTTTCCTCTCTTCGTCCAAAAGGATACTGTCCAACGTTCTCTCTAACATACTTTTCGTGTTCAACATTACAAGATCCGCCATCCAACTATTTTTATCTTCGACGGATTTGGCAACAAGAATAACATTTGGGTGGTCCCTTGGTGCAATTTCGAAGGCATTTTTCAATTCTGAAAAATATTAATTACTCGTACTCATTCACAAAATTGTTCAGGATAAGAAGAGCATCGAGATCGAACATTTTTCTTGCTCACCGTCAGTATCCTCCCTATCGATAATATCAACCTTCCTAATAAAAAACCTTTCCTTCAAACGCAATTCGCCCTGGTGAGGCGGATGGCCCACTACACCGACGGCTGCGACGGTAACGCTGACTCTTTTGCCACCGCTCGGTTTACAAAGAACCAGTAGACCGTCGAAGAGAAGAGCTCTTCGTTCCGTTAGTCTCTTACCGTTACTTACTTTTCCCAACATATCCTCTGCACGTAAAAATTAAACATGTACTGCTGCATGAACTGTACGAAAGATAATCGGGTTCGGAAAGCGTCATATTTATTTGTCGTACCTCGTATGAATTCGTTACAGCATTGTCCGACATCCCTTTGATCCCAACCGTCGACTGTTTTTTGTAATTCACTAGTCTTCTCCAACGCTGCTTGTCTCCTTGCTCTACTCTGCATCCGCAGGCCTGTATCTTTTTTCGGAAGACTCGCCACAGATTGTAGTAATTCCATCTGCAGTGGCCTTAAAAGACCTTGTACTTGTTCCAGTGTTTCACTATCTTCTGTATTTGGTGTACGTTTTTGTAATACCTATTCGGCAAAATCATGTTTCGGTTCAACGTTGGAACGATACGAGTAACGATACGTCGATTGCTGATCATTACGATATACCTTTATATAATCGAAATACAAGAAACAATGCCATACTGGTTGTAACAAAAGTTTTGGCAAGTAATATTTGACAGCTTCCTTGAATCCGTGTCCCGCCGCTCTTAACGCAGCATTAGCTTCGGGTCTTGAGAGTAGATTTGATAAAACTTCTCGACTAGCTGGACCATTGATGTCTTTCGCATACCTGTCATTAAGATTTTTAATAATCTACCTCGTTCACCTTGTCAACTCGATCATTTGACAGTTTCTCACGTATACGCACTTTATGTAAACATCGAATTCCGCTGCTTCCGCAAGTTCTTCGAAACACGAGCCAACCGTGGGCGTTTGTTTCTCTTCTGTAATTTCCATTATATCCTCTAGACTACCAAGTAGAGTTACAGTTACTTCATAAATATCCATTATATTACTGAAAAGTGTGTCCATCTCAGTTCTATCTTGCGCTAACTTCGCGATTTCTTCTCGAAATACCTGTTCCGAAGATAGAATAATTCAGGTCAACCAATTGAATGAACGTTCACGATCGACGCGTATGATCTTACCTTAATGATCATATGGAGATCACGTAAATAATGACGTTCATCGTGTATGAGATCCCGGACTGATTCTTCGTAAGTTTGAGAAACCACTGCGCCTAAACCGCTTTGTGGGCCCTCGGCATAATCGTCTTGATAAAATAAATCCATTAATACCTGTTGATAATTCATTAATTATTAATCGTTGCCGTTCGTTCTCTCCAACATCGACCTTGTGCCGTTCAAAAGATAACGTTACCATATCTGCACACATGGCCACCCTTATATCTTCGCAAGATATCTCCACGTGACGTATATTCTTAACATAGTTTCCAGCTAGCTGAAAAGAGAGTAGTCTTAAACATTTGGAAGTGATCAGGATTCAACGTGGAACAATGTAAAAGCTAACGCGTCGACGCGATCGACAGTAGCTTCTACCAACCTTCAAGATATCCGCAGAAATGTATTCCAAGACTCCTACCACAAAAAGACTAACTTGCAAATCAATTTTCTGTTGTAATACTTCCTGTCAACATAAAAATATAATTAAATCCGTGAAGACGTACACGCGCAAGTGTACGAAAATGTGTACAAAACGAGTTCGATTCGCTTTGCTATTACTTTTTGTAACAGTTGATGAATTTTGTCAACCGGAAGAACTAGCGGCGATTTCTTTTTTCCTTTCTCCAAGGCGTCTCTCGCATCTCTGAGTGCCCATCTGTCGATGGGTGTAGGAAATGTACGCCTTACTCTTTCTTCTACATCTTGAGGTGTGTGCGGAGGAGGATGGCCACAAAGCATTCCCAGCAGCCTTAAGATCAAACTCTCCACATAGTCCAAGGCATCTTGTCGCGCTTCAAGACTGGGATGTACTTGCTCCAATACCTGGTTTACATAGTCATTTCACTTCTTTAATGTTACACGAGGTGAACGCATTGTTCTCGTTTTTGACAGCTGTCAAGTATTTCATATTTTATCGTGACGGTATACAGAATTGAACGCAAACTGCGAATGACAATAATTAAACGTCTTGTCAAGCAAGTGTTTTATCGCCTGCACGATAATGTTGTAATATCGTAATCGAGATTTCGGAATTACGATCTATATTTACGACGACGAAGTAACAAACGATGAAGGAACAAGACCGGGGATCGAACATTATTGTCACGATCGCGAGGCACAACCCTCGGGAATGGAATAAAACATTAGTAACGCATATTGCTCGACAATGACAATAGAAGAAATCGATGGGGACGATGAACAACGACGTGGTCGCTGTGCAGAAGGTGAGAATTCGATAGATTTCTCGTTGAAATTCTCGGATAAAGTCGTTGGAAGAGAATATGGTATACATGTATGTACCTTGCTCAGGGAGTTGACAAACACTCCCTTCCACTTGGCGGCGTTCTCCTCTTTCTGAAAGTCGTAGCCTGACGACTCGCCCACCACTGACGCCGGCGACGAAAACATCTCCACGTACTGGCACCAGCTAATATGTAGCCGACAGATTAACAAGCACTAGCTAGAGAACACGCTCCGGAGAGTTCCCGAATTTTACAAACAGCATTTCGTCGGGAATCACAACAAAAACTTTGACACGGAGACATCTGTCTGTCCGTCAGTCCGTTTCTCAGGGTGCAGACATCTCTGTGGTGTGAAATGCGACAGGCTAAGCCACTCGTTGATGTCCCGCTGCGATCTTGATGTTCTCGCCGTTTACTGGCATCGAAACCATCTCCGAGGCTGACCCGAGCGTCCTCGAGTCACGCCGCTTGTGCATTTTACACGCCCTTTTAACGCAAATTTTTGTCAGAACAGAGCGTGAGCACCACCACTATCGAAGAATACCATTGCGCGACTCGCATCGATCGATAAATGCGATAATACTGTCTCTGGCGACCAAATTTGCGAGTTCGAGATATATCGATACTTGTGATTAATCGATAGATCGAGATCACAAAAAATCAGCAATGTTTCACGCCCTCTAGGATGTGTTGCCGTCGAAGTAAGAAACGGAAAGCGAAACACTCGTCGATGTCGAACCGACTGTGTGATCTTACCTGTTACCGACGAGTCATTCTTACGTTACCGATGACATATTGTCACAGACGAAGTATGTATTTTCCTGTATACATTTTTTGGTTTCCATTGTACTGTTCATTCCGACTACATGGGATTTCCTCTTCGACAAGATTTAACCCCTCCAAAGTTTGAAAAAGGTTTGTTCAAATGTCTTTCAATTATTATTATGATATCTAGCCTACTTCAGGTAGGATCGTGCCTCTTAAATGTTTCGTGAGAGTGAAATAAAAATGCCAAGATTTGTTTTTCGTTCGTTTATTAATCGGAATTTATTAATCGGAGTACAATTTGAGGTACAGACGTTCTGACCTTCGTAGTTCTTCGCTTGGGCCAACGGTACCAAACGAAGAACCGTTCTGTATCCGAAGTTGTAATTATCTTTCTAAATAGTAAAGTCCGTCATTCAACGATCTTTAATTTATTGTCAAAGTATAAAAAGAATACTAGAGAATATCTTACACGAAACTAGTTTAGTAGTCAATTTTTCGCCACGATACGGTGTACACGTATAAATAATATATATAAATAAATAATAATGTCCGTGAATCCTTTGGAGAGACCCAGGAGAGAGTGATGGTTTTCAATGAAAAGGCCAAATCGGTGATTGGTCGAATTGGACGAATCGAAACGCGAAAATTCTTTTTGCCAAGATCAATCTCTTTCTTCTTGGTACGTCACCTTGAATCGATTCGCTCGTCCGAATGTTTTTGCGTCGCTCCGATACCTCAGCTGCGAAAAAGCGAAAAAGAACAGTCAGAAAGATGAAATGTTCGAACGACGCAAACGGATCGTCTGCAGTGATCTGCGTACGAAGGACGCGAAGTAGCCATCGCTATTGACACGTCCTATTTCTCGTTCAGCTTTCGCAACAGAGAACAAGACGTGCTTTGTGTTTCGTTGGTTAACGCGTTACCATCGTATCAATGAAAGTGCGAGTCGAGCGATGCAAATAGGTCTGTGGGTTCGCCCGTATTCGACGCTACGATAATATCGGGTCGTACGCGCGAACATTTTTCATTTTCGAATTCGACCTTCGGGTATCGATTTTTCCGCGATCGAGACGGTCTCTGAGAAGAGACGAGCGCGAGATGGCGCGCGCGACGTAAACGGTTTCGCGTGCCGTTGCCGAATATACACATATTTAGCAGCGTTATCGAAATTATTTTTGATTCGGATCGGAATAATTGCGACACCGCGTCCAGATAAGACGGTGCGAGTCGCGAGTTCGTCGCGGTTCGACAAGGACTTATCTCGTTTAATATTACGCTCGTCTTACATCACGTTTACGTTTACACATGCACGCGTGCGCGTCAAAAATTTCGAATGAACGTGGGATGTTATCGGAGGGAGAAAAAAGAGTGAAAAGAATTGGAAACGCGGCGCAGTTGGCTGCGCGTACATTTTTCTGGACACCGAGAAAACTTTCGACTCAGCACTCTCGTAGCGACGGATTTATCGAGTGCGTCACAGAGGACGAGTCGCGCGGTCAACGTCAGAGAGCTCGACTCCGTTCCGTATGAAAATGTCTGAGGAACGATCCGCGATCGACGACGTACGTTCCAAGAGACGTTTACGTCGTCGAGTGGGAGACAGGTAATCTTTACAGGAATTAAACTCGGCCAAGGGACCGTCGATACCGTTAATCAGGTTAACGGCTCGCAGATAAACGAGATTTACTCGAGCTTTTCTTCCTTCGTCGAGCCACCTCTAATCATTACGCGATAGTACGGATCTCTAAAGACACGCGTCGTTCGAGTTACGTACCTGATAACGGGATACGCCGCGTTTCCCTTGAGACCCAGTCTTCCGGATAAACGGAAGAGCTTCTGAAGGTTCTTCATGTTCAGGTCGAAGACCGCTCGCTTGTGTCGATCGCTGATAAAGCCACGGACAAAGAGATCGAGAACACTTACTAAACGTTTATTTTTCACTGATCAAGAGAAATAATTGAAACTTACAATCTTGCCGATTCTAGCTGACGGACTGCCCTGATCATGTTCATCAATTTCCCCGTAAGTACCATCAGCGTCTCCAGCTCTGCCCGCCTCTGATCCGAAAATCGCTTGTGTCGCCTGTGTACACGACGGGAAAATTGTTTCAGAGACGTACGTATACGTACGGTTTTAGGAGAGGATCGCTCAATTTTGCAAAATTTCTTTATCATCGAGACAGAGATTTTTTCGTCACGCGTCGGCTCAGGGTTAAAAACGGGGTACGGGGATGTTTCAGAGAAAGTAAATCGTTAGAACGTGGTCGGAGTATTTGGTACTCACTCCTTGAGGATTCCTGATAATTCTTCCTTCGCCTGGCCGATCATGTCTTTCTCTTCTGTGTTCGCGAGGCTCAGTGGATGGTCGTAGCTGAGAGCAGTCCTACTTTCACGCGTGCCTCTGTGATCGAGAATAACAACGTTGTTTCAATAAACGTTCGGTAAAACGACGTCTTCCTTGTATTTGTGTCGAGTATCGTCTCAAAAGTAATCGCGGATAGTTTAAAGTATCTTAATCGACCGTAAATATCGTTCGATTCCACGAGGAACGAAACATAAAACTTTGATAACGTTCCGAAAATATCCGTATGTATTCGTGTTTTGTCTTCTGTCGTTCAATTACGTTTATCGTCCGTCGTGCGCGTATTTCCCGCGCGAGATAAAAAATAATTATGAGAAGAGGTTGTGAGTAAAAGATGTATGATACCTGTCGTCGGCGGGCCGCGCGGACACGATCCCGTTCAGACAGATCAGTCCGACCACCGTCGCGATCGCCATCCAATTGTTTCCGAACGCGTTTCTACGTTTCTGCCGGTCCATGAGGCGCGTCAAACTTTAAATACAAAAAGAACAACGACGAACAAAAAGACGTGTACTAGCTCGATTCTTCTGGATTCTTCGAGACGTTTCTCTTCTCGTCGGGAACGTCGTGAAATCGGACAGCGAGGTCTGTCTCGTTCGTCTGGTTCTGCTCGAAAACTATCGTAACGGGGCAGCGGCGCGCGTATATATTCTTGTCTGAAAAACGTTCCCCCGCCACTTGAAATCCACGTCGTGGACGCAGCTTCTTACACCCCCTTTCCTTATCGTCGCCGAGACACGTTCGTTAACCACATTCCATGATAACTCGGTATCGGTCGATCGATTTTTCACGAGTTTCGCCAACGTGTCACGCGAACGAAAGGGGACCGATGGACGATCTGGCTCGACCTACCGTTTTCTTCCGTTCATCATGCTCGAACTCGGTAATAGACGCTCGGTGCCAATTACCTCCGCTCGTAGACGAAAAACCTACGGACGATAGTTTTGCGCGCGACAGAGGAAACAAGTTCCGATGATCCTCGAAACGATTCGTCGTCCGAACTTTTTTCTGTCGCGGGTATCGTTTGTAACGCGCCCTTTCGACTGATCGTTAGTAACGTGACGAAAAACGCGGTGTCGTGGTCTCGTACAATAGCCAGCGTCGTGACACCGAGAGGGTCTCGTCGCGATCTGAATGGCAGAATAAGTTTGTTCTGGAGAGATCGATGGTTGATGATGTTCGTCGAAAGTTTCGTAACGCATACCGGTGAATAATTGCGTCGGTGTATCTTTTGGAGATAGACGGTGGCTATTTTTGCCATCTCGTGGCAGACACGAGCTGGTGATATACATAATATTTGTCGATCGTTAAATTAGCCGTAGCTCGTGTACATACGGGGTCACCGTTAATCGGACGTTTAACCAATTGTTTTTTTAATCATTTTTCACCGTTTGACCCATATGGAGATAGTCTAACGACGTTATCTTGTAATTAACAATTATTGTTTGCACGTCACGACGCTCAACCTCGTTTCATTTATGAGCCGATGGAAAATTTAAGCCGCCATAAATTAAGTCTCGATTAGGTGGGCTGGACGTCGCGTCGGTGTCGGTACCGATCGTCTTTTTCGCTCATCGGTGACACGGACGGTCGTATCGCGTCGTCGCTCCGATCATTGAATGAAATAATTTACTGATTGTATCGGATCGGCAGACAGAAAATGCTTGCTTTTATCGATGATCGACGTTCGCTCGTTCGTTTCTGATGAAATCGATACGTAAAGGTCGGCAGGCGTAAGGGGAGTTCCAGAGCTTCTAACACGGGGAAAACGTTTTAGCGTAACTAGTTTACGGGTTTCATCATCGTTCACGTTTTGCTGCTAGGTTTTCCGTATGACCGGTAAGAAATTGTCGGTTCGCGTGTTTCACGCTCACGTTTCACGTTCGTGGACAATTTCTCTTTCTTGGGAAATTAGAGAAAACATTTTATTTGTTCCTCCGGTTTGGCAATGCTACGCGAAGTGCAAGCGGTAAAACCAGTGTTATAGATCACTGAAGTCTGTGAATGAATATTTTCGATCTTCAGATCTGAAGTAAACAGAAAAAATTGGGTAACAGTGAGAGGAAGCGTTGACTACGGTTGAAGCAGCTATGCAATAGTTGGCGTAGTGGCGATCAGAATTTCAGTAATCGTATAGATTAGAAAAATCAGAAACAAAAATTTTTATTGCGACTAGATATGATTTTACCATGACGTTATGTTTCATCATTCGATTTGTGCTGGGAATTTCCAAAGAGGATTTCCTTGATTTATTCGCTCGTAGTTTCCAATGTCCTTGCTTCGATTCAAATTCATGACTTCCGGAAATCTATTCTTACAGGCAAATGAATGAGAATTTAAAAATTTCTCAGAACGAAATGAAATTAGTTCGAGATGTAAAGTGGCAAAATCTGAATTACAGCGAAAGACGATTATAACGACGTGTACTTTGCTTCTAATATTTTGTTCAAAATGTGGTAGCGTCCGTGTCTTTGATGACACTCGTGTCTGGTCGCTCGCTAGACTGATCGATAAATCCGGATTGCGATCGAATCCGTTTCAACGATCCTGAACGATTCCGAGTTTTCGATGCGAGGAACATAGGAAGTCGGGATCGTTCGCTTGGCGAAAGAAACGTGACGATGTAATAGCGGCCGGTCCGCAAAGATACTAGGAGATAATTTAAAGAACGACCTCGATCGTTATTCGCGTCACACGATCCTTCGGTCGGTTCGGTTAAAGATCGTAATTAAAAAATGTTCCCATCGAGCGACGATGAAGTTCACTCTATATAATTTATGCTTCCCATTAAAGCGTGATCGATTCCATGATTACGCGCGATGAAAAAGAGGAAAGTACAGCGAGATCAAAGCGCATCGTCCGTCACACCTCTCGAACCCTTTCGAACTTTGGACCCGTCATAAAAACTAATTACGCTGTTCATGCTCGTCGAACAGACTCTTGTACGTATCATTAATTTTTTACTACGGATAAAAATCGTCATTCAGTAAATAAACAATCGTTCATGTACTCTGTGTCTCGGGGTTGTCGCGATCGAACAGTAATCAATTAGGTGAACACGATAGGAGACGTGAAATTTTTAGTGCTGTTCGCTCACGCGTTGTTTCTCCGCACAACGGGAGTTCCGTCTGTGTTCGAATCAGCGATCGGACTTTGACAGTATTTCGTATAGTGCCTGGTAAAGCTTTTAAAGAGACGTGATCACATGTTTAAAGAGCGAGGGTACTCGATACCGTCTGATCTATCGTTGCTCTCGAGAGCAACGGAGAGAGACCGTGTATTTACTCCCTGAGACGATAAATGAAATTTAGACGGCAGTGTCCGCGTTTCGGGCCAAACACGAAACGGGCGTAAATAAAAGCACGATTAGCGCGTTTTTCGCAACCGGCTTCTCCTCCTTTAAAGATAGAGTCCGAGGAGCGTGTCGAACGAGATCGATTTACGTAGCTTGTTCGCGATAACCGAAACAGCTTAATCGGAAATTCAGGATTGTGCAACTTTGGAGGCCCGTTTCTCACAGATACGTGACGATACTCGTATGCGTGTACATACGCCGTATGTACCGTGTACGTACACGCTCGTGTAGAAACTGCGCAGTAAAAGTAACGGAACGTTGCGGAATCAACCACCCACGCGACGTGTGTGTGCGTATTTATGAAATGTAATTTGATATCTGTCGAGGCACGTTCATCAATCACGCTCGCCACGGATGAACTAGCGTGTAAAGAGCGCTCGTAAGTCGTCATGTGACTACGATTTCGTTTTGCGAGAGTTTCGTTTCCGCGACGATTCACAGGATCGGCCGAAACGCAGAACGGTTTCTCTTCCTCCTTCGTCGCCTCACAGGGGAGTCGGCTCGTCTCCTAGGGATCCCTGTCCCTCGAACAGAGCGTTCGCCTCGTTTCTTTCACGACAAACGCCTGTATTTCTGTTCTTCGATGCGAAAGAATACTTTTCCCATAAGTTTTTTTGTTCCTTCGCTGTACGCCTCTGCCACTGATCATGCATCATTTTTGCACACGACGGACGATCGATGTGACCGTTGAAATTGTAAAATTAGTCTGCGTCCAGAGGTGATCGGAGCCGAGTCTGATCTCGAGACAGCTGAATCTACTGGCTCCCGCGTTTTCAGTAGTACGAATCGTCTTCAGTCGGACGATCGACCAGGGATCGAGAGAGAAGTTTCTTCAGCGAAACTCAAGTACTCGTACGAACTTTTGCATCGTAATACTACTCTTGAACATTGAAACTCATGATTAAGTATCAAGTGTCGATGACTTAAAGTTATTAGATATCACGATCATTGACGACCGAGACGTTTTCGAAAAATTACCATGTTCGCTTACAATTCTACTGATCGAACGATCCGTAACCCTCTCTGCGATATTCTCTGCGAAACGTTTAACTATATTGACAATGAATTCAAACACGACCGCGTTTACGCTACGTCTACGCTTCATCCTCCGTTCGTTTGAATTTTTTTACAAATAATTTCTGCATTTACCGACGGCATAAAATAAGTCGATTATGGTTTCTCTAGAGGGAGCGCAGATGCGTATTTTTAATTAATTTCGAACCACTGATCTCGGAATACTGAACAGCGAACGCGTAAATCTGTATCAGGGACGACGGCGGCGGCCCCGATTGAAGGCCCAGCTGCGGCCGCCTTCGTCGGCGAGGGCTTTTAGACGCTTTTCTGGCGAACCTCTTCTTTCGAATGTAAACGATCTCGGCATATTGAAGCGGCAAATATTCTCATATAAGAACGAAAAGTGTATTCCCGTAAACCGATAAGATGGTTTTCAATCTCCTTATCGAGGACCTGTGGAACCCCTATTGAGTCGGCCAAGGAAATCGTTTTTTATTCGTCGTCTCGAAGACACAGGATTCCAAATTTTAGGCAGAGCACAGTCAGTGTTACTGACACAGTGACCCAGTCACGCGTATCAGCCGGGTGACTGAGCAGGTCGGGAGAGATTAGGGCAGGTCCGTGAGTCGGTCAACGTGCGAGAACGGCGCGTCCAAAGAATTATGCTCGTCTTTACGCGACGATATCTCCGAAATCGGAAGTCGGATCGAGATAGATCGAACCTCACGTCGAACAGGAGGTTCTCCTGCTCCGAGCACGGATTGTTTCATTAGTTCATAGTCGTTTGTCGCGAGACCGTTTTTGAAGCCCTCCACCCGCTTTGTCGGAGTAACGAGATTTGCGGTCGAACTCCTCGCCTCGAGAACGATGACGAAACAACGGAGTGAGGTGCCTCGTCGGCCTTGTCTCTCACGAGCCACGAGGAACGGGGTGGACCGCAAATATCAATTAGCGAAATACCGGCGTATGTAGGAAAAATGAACACCGCAGACTGCGTAGGTACGCTCTTTTGTACCTCGCCTCTGCTAATACGATCAGGGGAAAAGCATGTCCATTAGCCAGAGTTTTATAGAGATTTCGAACACCGTCTTATTCGCGTATTAGCGTCAGTTTTGATCGCAGAAAAAAGAGGAGGAGGAGGAGGAGGAGGAAGAGGAGTTTCAACGGAAGGTGGAACAGAAAAAAATCAGACCAGACAATTATTCGCGTACAGCTGATTATTATTTTTATTGCGTTTAAATAAACAAAATTGTAGTATTTACACGTAAATATAAAAGGAAAACAAAAACGGACGATCAACGAGATCGTTTCGAATGCATCGAGAGTGTCTTGATACGCATTTACAATAAAAGTCCCGACAATACTCGTAACAGTGTCTTTAATACTCTTCCCGGTTTTTCCGGTGCGACGTAAATTAAATTAAATTAAATAAATAAATAAATAAATAAATAAATAAATAAATAAATAAATAAACTTATACGGAGGAAGTATGCAAACTATCGACGAACGCGTGTGTATAGATTTAGTTGGAAGATCGCATAATCGTTCCATTCTTCGTTCCATCGTTCATCCTCCTTAGACGCATTTATAAATTAACACGATAATAAATAATTTATACGACGTAAAACGATAAACGGGATGAGTCACGTCTTAAGTTGAACAGATTCAAACTATTTTTAAATAGATACAATTCCACGTGCGACGACTGCGCTAGATCATTACGTACCATCGCTACGTCTGTTCGTCTTCTTGGTTACAACGAAAAGATGAAATAAATAGTAATTTCTTTAGGTGGGATCATTGATACGATTTATCTATTAGTCTCGTGTTTTATCGAAAAAGACGTTTCAAATATTTGACAGCCGTCGCAGTGGAAACGAACGATCGACGTAGCATAAAATGGAATTACGACGACTTAATTTTCATTTTTTTTTTGTTCGTTTTCAAAAAGAACTTTAGTCTTTTCTGTTCGCGTTGACGTTCAATAATGTTCGAGCTCTAGATTCAGCAAAGGTAAACTCATACAAACTCATTCGAGCGCCGCTAGATCACAAAAATGACAAGTCACACAATTTCTCGTTCGTCGTTCACGATCAGTTTTGCGTAAATAGAAAAATTAGAGAACATATATAGTGAACACAGTTTTCATCTTCGCAAGCTGGTGACACGGCCGAGGAAAATCGAACCGACCAGTTTAAATAATAATGAATAAATTACTAGACGGCTACCGATACAAATAAACGTACGAATATATAAAATAAACTAAACTAAACATATAAATGGCAGGCAGACGTTTCAGGTAACGGAAGAGTTAAAAGTCGAGGGAAATCACATGAACGTTTTCTCATCCTTCTTCCTTGCACGAGCTTCTCAAACGTACCTCAGCCTTTCGTCTTCCGTTACGTTCCGTGGTTAATTACTTAGTAGTCTAATAGTGTAAGTTCGTTTAAAGAGTTTAAGCTCGGACGGAGGACGGTCCGTAATACTGTTCAAGCGGTTTTTTTTGTTTTCGTTCAGGATCGAGAGATCGGTGCGCAAATCTTTCTTCGTTTCCAACAATGTTTCCCCGGTGTTTCCTTTCCTTTTGATCGATCACGCGTTCCTCGTTCTCTCGACTCCGTCTTCGAATTCGCCCTGGGATTCAGCGCGACTTCGTCGTCCGAAATTAATTGAATCGGTATTCGTCGTCGATGCCTCGCCGGCTCTCCCTCGACCTCTGCAATGTAATGAACGTTCGTGGTCAGTAAATTGCAACAGGCGGTCGACGAGCGTTCATTGCGCTTAGCGCAAATCGTCCATCGATCAATGACTCGAGACACAGCAAAAAGTGTACAAACGAAAGCTGAGCGATGAATGATGAAACGAACGGTCGTAAAACGTGTGACGCGTCCGTATATCTGCGCGACCAATCTATCGCGAGAAATGCAAGCGTTCCACGTTACGTTAGAGTTCACGAGTGTCACAAGTTCAGGCGCGTGCCAGTCGTATTCTTATTTCTCGGCCAATTATCGCTGTGACTGCGTTCGCAATTAGCGAGTCGCGGCATTGGAAAAGACACGGACACGGCCGGACGTTTGCTCGTGCTTATCGGCGGATCGAGACGGGATCGGTCCGTGACTCGCGCCGCGCTTACATAACGACAGGCGCGCGTGTGTACGCGGAAAGAAGGACGTGTATTCGTTCCGTCGTAATCCTCGTTCCTTCTTGATCACGAAAATCAACCAGATTCGTCGAAAGGTCAAGATTTAACCGGTCTTTCAGATGCATGTGAGACTTTTAACGCGTGCGAAAAGACGAATGATATTTGATCCGACGTCGCGGGAGTAGAAGCGTCGAATTCACCACTGGTAGCGGGAGAACTTCCTCGCCGTCGACGAAGTCAGGATTGTCAGCGATGATTTTCATGATGCGTTGCAACATTCCCAGTCTGTCGTTCGTGGCGGATCTTCGTCTACGGCCTCTGCAATTGAACAATGAAAAGAGAAACGTTAGATCGTGTTCATCGTCCTCAGTCAATCCTAAAAGTTTATGTGCCTTAGAAAAACGCATTTCCTATGATTAAAAAGAAATCAGACGTCGGAAGAATAATGCTAATAATAAATAGCTACGTGCTAAAAAGTATAGAAGGAAATATCCAATTAAGTATTGACGCTGATGAAAAATTTTTTTCTTCAAAATTGCGAAAAATGCTTCAAATAAAAGTTTTTTTTCTTCTTACTTCGATATTTAACGAGTTACGTATGATTATTTGGCATTTTATTCATGTTGACAAAATCCGACCATCCCAGCGTTGAAACAGCGAACTTTTGGGAAAAAATTTCGTTTTTTGTCAATAACTCCCGAACGGATGGGCGTAGGGGGGCATGTAT